GTGGGCAGGGCAGGGCGACGTGGCGGCCAGCAGGGCGATGCGACAGGCAGGGGAGGGCGGCGCGCGACCAGGAGGGCGGCGCGACGGGCAGGGCAGGGCAGCGCGACTAGTGGGGCAGCGCTACGAGCAGGGAACTATGCGGTGGGCCCTAAAAAAAACGGTCTTGGAACAGGACCTGCTCTGAAACCATGTCAGAATACTGAACGAGAATGAATGCATTGAGCAGAAAGTTGGTACAAGTATTAACCCTAATTGGGTTGTATCCCTTATGGGCTACCCCACTACAGCCTACACAATATAAGTAGTATAATATTTTGACTAGACGTGGGCGTTCGCTGATGACCATTGCTACATTACAAGCCGCTTCGCTTTCAAAATACACAATTTTGAAATTAGTTACAGCTTTTTATAAATATTCATCTTGTATCTTCTTTGCAACTGTGAACTTTGATTTTGTCACACGATGAGCGAGATAACAGTTGGAATCAAATTCTACCTGGTACTCACCAACTTCTTGCAACACATATACAGTTGAAAGACACTAATAAAACAAGCCAGTTAGCACCACAGTACCACAACTTTTCGGTGGTACGCTCAGTGCTATGCTCAAATCATCGTATCAAGCTGTACTCGCCGCGCAGAGCCTATCTGCCCTACCTGTATTCGCCATACAAAGGCATTCACAGCTCCAAGCTGCCCTATCTACCCACTCAACTTCCCCACTTACACCGTCCGTCCACACTCAGCATCCCCACTTCAAAGTCTCGCCCTCCACACCCTCCACACCTTTTCTGCCAGTCATTCCCTCGTTCTCACTGCTTTCCTGCTTGACGCCGAGGGCTTACATTCCGGTGCTCACTCGCCTTGTGCCATGCTTTGAGACGCCTCAAAACTCGTTCTCACTGCTCCCTTCGTGCTTGATGCCGAGAGCTTACACCCCATGAAAAACACTCCCAGTGCTCCCTCCCCTTCCTCCATGCCTTCCCTATCGGCTTGCCTCTCCTTGCCATTCTTCCTCTCCCCTTCCCTTCTAACACTTGTTACACACCGCATTTACTCTCAATCTATATGGTGTCACTCTCCTTTGTGTCATTCATCCTCTGCATCACTCTCCTCTGCATCATGCTCCGTCCCATCACTCTCCTTCCCATCACTCTCCATCCCATCACTCTCCTCTGTCCCACTCTCCTCTGTATCATCTCCATTCCCTTCAGATTTCCTCCCTTCGCTATTATTACACTCCACTTCAATCTCACCCTCCTCCCCTACTGCATCACTCTCTTCAATCATAATCTCTTCCCTCCCACTGTCTTTCCTCTCACCTCTCTTCCCTTTCCCCCTTCCCCTCTTCCCCTCTCCCTTCCCCTCATTCTTCCCCTCCTCCTCCCTCTTCTTCTCCTCCTCCTTCCTCTCTCTCTCCCTCCTCTCCTCCCTCACTCCCTCCACAAAAGCCGGTCCATGGGTCATGGCAGCATCAGCGCTACCCCGGTGCAACAGAAAGAACCCTTGCAGAGCCGCAGGGCTCACCTCTCCTTCCTCAAACATCCCCGCGAATTTCTCCGCCTCTTTCTCAGAAGCTTCCGAGAAGAATCTCAGAAACAGACGGACGATCTGGCTGCAGCTCGCGAGGCCGAGAAACATCCGAAAGTCGACCCGCCCGGGGCGGATCAGCGCAGGATCCAATCTCTCGATATGATTCGTCGTCATGATGACGATCTGCTTCTCCCGGGCAGCAATCCCATCGATCGCGTTCAGCAGGCCAGAAAACGACAGCCCGTTCGCCTGGCTACCCTCTTTCTTCTCCCTAGTGGCTGTGAAGGCTGCATCTATATCCTCCAGTACAATCACGTCCCGCTCGTCACAGTCACACATTGCACTGTTCAGGGCATCATCGCTCATACCCGAGGAAGACAGGCTGATAATCGCAACTCCAAATTCCAGCTCCCCTGCCAGGGCTTGAATTAAAGACGTCTTCCCGCACCCGGGCGGCCCGTGGAATAAATACCCCCGTCGGTGAGGGATACCCCGGTCTGTATACCACTTTGCACTCTCCAAGAACTGCTTCACATCGTCTATAAGAGCTGCTGTATCACAGTCCAGGACCACAGTCGACACCGGCCGGCTCGCCCTTTCCCCCAGGTACTTCCAGTAATTCTCATCCGCGCTCCACCGTTTCACAGACGTCATTTTCTTCTCGTTTTTTTTCACCATAGCAGCGTCTGTAGCGGCTTGCACGACGGCCTTTAGGACAGCCTGAGAGGGCGCTTCGATAACGAGCTCCTCGCGATTCATTGAGCGGAGAATGTCGCCGAATTCCGCCCCTTGGTCCAACTGACCCGGGCTGTTGCGCATTTGAAAGGACACCTGGCGCAGGGAGGCAGGGTGAGGGGATAGGGAAAATGACGGGGGTGAGGAAAACGTGAGGGGGGGTTGAAGCACGTACGGTAGAGGATATGAGACGAAAAAGAAAGAAAGATTCGATAAAGAGTCACAATGCTTCTGGAAGACCTAATCTGAATCAAGAAGAGCTTACTTTGGCACCATTGAACGTGATGTGTTGCGCCGCCTTCAGCTTCGGCAGGAACTTAACGATTGGCCTATTACGGTCCACGCCATCCGCTTGATCATCAGTCGGCCATTCCAGATTTAGAGTAAACTCGGACGGCCTCAGCTTCTTATATCCGTTCAGCCACTCCTGGATCCACGTGAACGCCTGGTCGTTCGGCGAGATCGTTACAGTCACATTTCCCCGGTGTCGCATCCAATCGAGTGACCAGTAGAACCAGCTTAGAAGGTATCTGCCCACCAGACCGATCGCAACAAGCCACACGCTGCCCGCAAAAAAATCGTTGTGAAGGTATTGCTGGAGGAACCCGTCGAGAATGGGGGAGAATGCGGAGAGGAGGGTGATTAAAAAAGGGTAGAGCGGCGACGACGCGGGAAGCACGAGATTTAGCACGCTCTGCGCCAGGAAGAGCGCGGGCTTCTTCTGAAAGTCGATGTGACTATAAGGATGCGTGCCATTGTCGGTTTGGTTGAACTCTCCAAATGCTGCTGCTGCGTCGTCATCGCCATTCAAAAATCCGTTGACGGGTGGAAAACCACCTTGGACGGGTGATCGAAACACGAGTGACGTCAGCAAATCTACGGCGCCTCCCATCCCGCTCAGACTATTGGTCAGCATTCCCGGAATTTCGGCTGCGTCTGCCATAACGACCGTGCTAGCCGCGGCTTGCACCACTGGCGAAGGCGCTTCTTGAGTGACGTACAACCAAATGTGTAAGAGAGGGTCGGCGTTATTGACTGAAGTGGACACTGACAAATAGAAGTGAAGGGTTCCGCCTTCCGTGTGCTTCTAATGAACGGTATAGGGAGGGAAGTAGTCCTAGCGACAGAGCCGTAACTAGGAACTGCAGCCAATAAATGTTCCGTCCTAATCCAGTTAGGAACTATAAACGATTTGGGAGCTGCCGAGCCGCACAGGCTCCAGCAACCATTGATAGCTGCGATAATGCGTGAGTCACGCGGTTGCTTGAGAGCCACACCAACAAACCAATCCCGCGGGAGTGTCAGTCACCCCCTCGAGATTGCCCCTTTGACACGCCACGCCACACATCCCAATACCCACGCAACTCCTGATGTACAGCACTGTACTGTAGTCGTCCGAAAGCGTTTTCCCGCTTATTTGAGCCCTGGGTTTTGACCTCGGGGTCTTGGTGACGCCAAGGTTTCCAGGAAGGTCAGCGATTTCGTTCGTGAGCCATCGTTGATCTCCCACTGTCACGTTACACATCTCATTTCTGCATTCGCTTGAATTTCGCGAAAGCGCGTTACCGCAAGGCGTGCTTACCACGCCACCACTGTGACCTCTGCTTGCTGTGTCTATCCCCGCTATCTCCCGAACCAGCAATATACACTTGAAGTTTGTTAAATGAAAGGAGAGAACCTATTTGTAATTACTCTACACGCAAGAAAATCTGTCTCGTAAAAATGTGTAAAACCATTTGTTAATATGTTTTTTTTGCAAACTCTAACACAACTCATAACAGACAAAATAAGGTTCTTGCATTATTCTCTAGATAATTCGAAACAATTTCTGTTTTTTTTTCATGTTCTTCTTGATGCTGTGCATATAGTGAGGGGGTGAAGTCAAAACAAGTCATTCCAGCATAGACGTCGCCTTTCAGTTCGGCTCTAACCGCTTCCCTCGTTTGTAGCCTTTGTCACACCACACCTCGGTCATAAAATCACGAGTCGCTACACATGTTTCATGCGGTTCGGCTAAAAATGCCATCCTCCTCCTCGACAATGTCACAATATGCATGCCTCTCTACCACCACCTTCACCACCAACCCGACACCACGTATTTCCGTACTATGTACATGTAGGTCGTATTTCTGACTGACCCTCATCGCCTCGCCTCATCACTTCGCCAATTGGCTCAGCAAGCATCAACCCTTGCTTGACACCCTTGGCGGCGCGCGTTCCCTCCCATCCGCGCCATTCCCAGCGCTTGCTAACCACCTTGAATCTGCTCTGCCCTTCTCTCACATATTTGCCTCACCGACCCTGGATGATAGCACAATTTGTAGACACTTTTGCCCCAGACCAGCTTGGATCATCTGTCCATAATTTTATCGCACACTGACGCAAGAAGAAAGTGCCTTCGCATATTCACCTAGGCTCATAGTGATTCTAGCATCCATATTTAGATACCTCTTCCACCAAAGATACGGCTCTCCATTTCGCCTCCTGACGACTAGAGCGATTGACCGTCTACTACTATTTCCTCCGAGGCTTTTCAGCTGCCTAGGGCTTTTCACCTGAACCCGAAGCCTTTTCAACCTCCCTCTTCCTGTTTCGCGGCACCCAGAGTTCGCTACAAACCAGTCGCACTCAGAAGCCCCCAGGTGTCAGTCATTCGCGCACTTTCTCAGAAGCCCCCAGGCGGTTTCCATTCTCTCGTACTCATTAGTCCTTAGTTTCCACCACCCGCAACCATGAGCACGTCGCCTCTTCTCGCCAAGTCGGCCAAAGATGCTTTCATCGAAGTCATGTGAGTCACGGATAAGGGCGTTCAGCGTGAAATCGAACATGCTTACCTTCTGTGAACATCGAACGATCAATGCGATACCTCTTTTGTTGCGGTTTGCGGGTTCTGCGTGCAATGCTCACGTCAGAATTCATTGATTACCCTTCCACACTGCCCCGTCCCACCAGGTCCAAGCTTCGAGTCGATCTTGAGACGAATTGCAAATGTAAACCCTACAACCATAACTTGTTCCTAAATCGAGCATCACACACTTCGAATCCTTCCTTTCCCGTGCCCCGCCCCACCATCGCCCCACCAGGCTCATGCCCGGCGGCAATCTCGAGGCAGTCGAGGCGCTCTACGCGTGCTGCCAGGTGGACGTCTTCGTGCACTCCATGGCGCGCCTGCGCAACGCCGCCGCCGCCAAACGCCAGATGCTCGGGCTCGTGTCGCCGCCGCAGCTCATGCACGCCGAGCCGTATACCGTCCGCGATATGCTCACCTTCCAACCGGTGCGTAAATATTAGTGACGCGAAATATTTATTACTGTAGTGGGATGATATGCACTGGAAGTTGGTTGACGCGAACCAGCACGCACTCCCCACCAGCTTGTTAGCGCATGCACACCCAGCTGTGCGCGCGTACATCGCCCGTTGCTGACGCCAAGAATTGGAACCTGAATCCGCGTTCTCCTCTCCTTTTTTCCCCTCCCCCCTCCTCCCTTCCCCCATCCCCCCAGGACCCGTTCGCCCATCCCATGCTCCGCCTGCACCACGCGCTGCAGGAGCCCGCCGCGCGCCTGTTCGGGGACATTCTGCGCTTCATGGGGCTTGCGAGCGGCGCGGGAGGCGCAACGTTCATCGGCGGAGGCCCCGCGGGGAGGCTGAGTCCGGCGGCGGAGATTGCGCTGGTTGCGCGCGTGCTGCAGACGATTGGCGAAGAGCCGCTGCTTCGCGACGAGCTGTTTCTGCAGTTACAGAAGCAGACGCGCGTGAATGATTACCGGTAAGCAAAGAAACAGCTCGTCCGCCCCCTCGTCCGCTCGCCGCCCCCTTCCCCTCTGCATCGTCATCCTTCTCCTACTATCTCAGCGGGGGAAGCTCATGCGGCACTGTACATCTTCCCCCTCCACACCCTCCCTCTCACTTCCTTTCTCCGCTCCGCCCTCTTTCCCGCCCCCGGTTCCCCAGGGACTCGTGTATCGAGGTTTGGGAGCTCATGCGGCACAGTACATCTTCCCCCTTCCCCATATTCCCGTCTTAAAGCATCCCCGCTCCACTCCCCGCTCCCCCGCGCGCCCCTATCTTCCCCAGCGACTCGTGCATAAAGGCGTGGGAGCTCATGCGCTACTGCGCGTACATCTTCCCGCCGACCACCACCGTCGCGACGCCCCTAGTCGACTATTTCACCGCGCTCGCCGCCGACCCCAAGTGCGATCCGGGAATCCTCGGCGCGCTGCGGCTGGCGTGGAAGGCGCTCGAGCACGGGCTGGAGCACGGGCCGCGGGAGACTATACCGGGGGAGGAGGAGGTTCGCGCGCTTTTAACGGGGACCCCGATGGTGGTGCCGGTGTTTCTGTGCAACGACGCGCCGGAGAATATTCACTATGGACCGACGACCACGGCGGAAGAGGCGGTGAAGGTGAGAAACCAATAAAGCCCGAACCCCGAACTCTGAAATCCGTCTCCCCTCCCCCACTTCCCCCAATCTCTTTCTGTGCAACGACGCACCGGAGAATATCCACTATGGGCCGACTACCACGGCGGAAGAAGCGGTCAAGGTAAGAAACCATTATGGCCTTACCCCTGAAAGCCTAAAACAGTGAGTCCCCGAACCCTGAAACCGGCCTCCCCCCTGTTTATGTGCAACGACGCGCCGGAGAGTATCCACTATGGCCCGACCACCACGGCGGAAGAAGTGGTTAAGGTGAGAAAGCGGTGAAATTCTCAAAATTCGCAGCCACAATTCTGTAGAATTAAAAAAACCATAACTTGAAACCGTGCGGGAATACGAGCATTGCCGTGCGTTGTGCCCCGTGGATTGTTATGTCCCTCTGTTGCCCCTCCGCTTACTCCTTTGCCTTCTGCCCGTCTGCCCCGCTCCGCTCCCCCCTTCTCCGCCCCGCTCCCCCCTCCTCCGCTCTGCTCCCCCCTTCTCCGCCACGCTCCCCCAGATCCTATGTAAGAAGCTGCAAGTCTCCGCCACCTCCCCCTTCGCGCTCTACACCAGCCGCGCCACGCGCCCGCTCGTTGGCTCCGCGCCCGCCGCCGGCTCCGCCTCCCCCGCGCCCGGCGGAATGAAGGGCGCCGCCATCCCGCCAGCCGTCGTGGGTGAGTGTAACGGGCAATCTGTTTGTAAGGCGTGTAAGACTGCACGGTTGAATTCGCTGCTGCTGCTGTTTTGTCCTGTACTTACCCCACACGCCTACTGTCCCCGCCCCCCCTGCCCTCCCCCCATGCCAGAGCACGTGCTGCTGCCCCGCAGCGCGTACATCTCGGACCTTCTCGTCGATTACGGCACGGCGGCTCAGGTGGGGCAGTCGCGCGGGCAGCAGGTGGTGTGCAAGCTGCTGCTGCGCAAGCGCTGGTTCGACCGCGCCGATGCTGACGTGGCGGAGCGCCAGTTCGTGCGCCTCTGCTACGTGCAGTTGCGCCGCGACTACATGGAGAGCCGTTACCTCGTCACGGCGGAAGGCGCGGTGGTGCTGGCAGCGCTGTAAATCGCCGCGGAGATCGGCGTTATCCCCGACCCTCTTGATGCTCCGTAAGTCCCTTGGGTTGTCAGGGTGGTTGGGTTGGGTTGGGTCCGGCTGGGCTGGGCTGGGTTACTGGGTGTGGTGGTTCTATTATGTCAACCTCCCAACCTCCCCCCCTCCCTCGCCTCCTCCCCTACTCCTCTCGCCCCCTCCCTCTTCTCCCCCTGCCCCGCCCCCCTTTCCCCTTCCCCCTGTACAGCGAGTGGCTGGCGCTGATGACTAAATCGGTACCAGCTATCGTAGCGGGCGCTATGAGCGAGGACGATTGGGCCAAGCAGATCGCCGCCCAGTACAAGACGCTCGTGAGTGCCGCTCAGTGCCGCCCAGTAGGAAAGCTGTGCTGTGTGCCGCCTAGTACCGCCCAGCAGGCTGCCGCCGATCCGTATCCCTCCTTTCTTGTGTCGTCCAATACAACAAGACTTGTTGAATCGCACTGAACCGTGTAGAGCCATGTTGCCTCACTCAAGCAAGTCTCTTCAGTGATCACTACACCACGAGGGAACCACGTATGGGTTCACGTGGATCATTCTCGATAGCCCCCACGGCGGCTCTGTCTTCTTCCCGCATTTCCCATGCCACGCACCCCTTCTGTTTACACCCATTCTACTTTCTTATTTTTTCTCCCCCTCCCGCAGTGGTCCCTAGACCACGAGGGCACCATGCGTGAGTTCACGCGGATCATCCTCGACAGCCCGCACGGAGGCTCTGTCTTCTTCCCCCTCCGCCCGCACCCCGACATTGCTGCTTCCTTTCCCAAGCGCATGGAAGTGGGAATCAATCACAACGGGGTGAGTGGGTGGAACGTGCTGTGTGTGTATGTATGCTGTATCGAAAGGGCACGCTATAGGGCGGGCGCCGCTGTCTTCCCGCTCCACCCGCACCCTGACATCGCTGTGTCGTTCCCAAAGCGCATGGAAGTGGGGATCAACCACAACGGGTGAGTGGGGCGTGCTGTGTGTGCGCGCTGCGTTGGTGTGCGCGCTGCATTGGTGTGCGCGCTGCATTGGTGTGCGCGCTGCATTGGTGTGCGCGCTGCATTGGTGTGCGCGCGGCATTGGTGTGCGCGCGGCATTGGTGTGCGCGCGGCATTGGTGTGCGCGCTGCATTGGTGTGCGCGCTGCATTGGTGTGCGCGCTGCATTGGTGTGCGCGCTGCATTGGTGTGCGCGCTGCATTGGTGTGCGCGCTGCATTGGTGTGCGCGCTGCATTGGTGTGCGCGCTGCATTGGTGTGCGCGCGGCATTGGTGTGCGCGCGGCATTGGTGTGCGCGCGGCATTGGTGTGCGCGCGGCATTGGTGTGCGCGCGGCATTGGTGTGCGCGCGGCATTGGTGTGCGTGCGGCATTGGTGTGCGCGCGGCATTGGTGTGCGCGCGGCATTGGTGTGCGCGCGGCATTGGTGTGCGCGCGGCATTGGTGTGCGCGCGGCATTTGTGTGCGCGCGGCATTGGTGTGCGCGCGGCATTGGTGTGCGTGCGGCATTGGTGTGCGCGCGGCATTGGTGTGCGCGCGGCATTGGTGTGCGCGCGGCATTGGTGTGCGCGCGGCATTGGTGTGCGCGCGGCATTGGTGTGCGCGCGGCATTGGTGTGCGTGTTGTGTAGGGCAGTACAGCGCAGGTGTCTTTGCCTTTTTCCTCGCTGCCCACCCCGACCCCCCCCTGTCCTTCCCCAAGTGCATGGAAGTGGGAATCAACCACAACGGGGTGAGCGGATGAGGGTTGTGGCATTGCAGAGTACGCGTGCGAGCCTCATTCTCACCATGCATTCCCAATTATCCATGCTCCGGCCTTCCCTCCCTTCCCTCCGTTTCAGCTCCACTTTCTGAACCCGGAGGACCATTCACTCGTGCTTGAGGCAGAGCTGAAGGACATTGCAGAGAATGCGGGGAAGCCCGACGACGCTCACTCTATACTTCTCCCCTCCCTACCCCTCTCCCCCTTGCTCCCGTCTCCCCCCAGCTGCATTTTCTCAACCCGGAGGACCACTCACTCGTGTTAGAGGCAGAGCTGAAGGACATTGCCAAGTATGCGGGCGAACCCCAGTCTCACTGTATACTTTCCCCTTCTCCTGTCCCCTTCTCTCCCCAAACAAACAGTCGCATTTCCTCAACCCGGAGGACCATTCGCTCGTGCTAGAGGCGGAGCTGAAGGACATTGCAGAGTATGCCGGCAAGCCCGGGCGAGTCTACTTCTCCCTGCTCATGCGCAATCAGCTCTGCCCCCTCGAATTCGCCACCAAGGGGGTAAGTGTGGGTGTGTGTGTGTTGGGTGTGTGGATGGCTGATTCTGTGACAACAGGGCGAGAGGCCTCTCCTCTCCACTCGCTTGTAAGCCCGGGCGAGTCTACTTCTCACTGCTCATGCGCAACCAGCTCTGCTCGCTCGAGTTTGCCACCAAGGGGGTGAGTGGGTGTGAGTCGGTGTGAGTGGGTGTGAGTGGGTTGGGACGAGAGTGGGCGAGTCTACTTCTCACTGCTCATGCGCAACCAGCTCTGCTCGCTTTGTGCTGGTGGGGAGGAGAGTGGGGATGAAAAAAGTCGTCTGGTATGGTGTGTCCCTTTGTGCTCTCTGCTCTTTGCATCCTCCTTTCGAAGCGACATGTTTTTTAGGTCCTGGACCGTCACATTGACAATGCTATTCGGCAAGCAAGCCACTCCTTGCTTTCCTGCAGACCCTTTGCTATCAACCCCTTGTGCTCTCTGCTCTTTCTCCTCCTCACAGGGAGAGGAATCGCCCAGCTGTTTCTCTGTAACATTGTCAATGCTTTTCAGCAAGCAGGCCACTCCTTGCCCTCCCCTTCAACCCTTCTCTCCACTTGCTCTTCGCTCTCTCTTCTCCTCACAGGGGGACGAAATCACCCAGCTGTTGGACCGTAAAATTGCGAATGCCATTCAGCTAGGAACCTGCTCCTTGCACCCCCCTCAAACCTGCTTGTGCCCTTTGCTCTTCGCTCTTTGCTCCCTCCCTCGTGTCACAGGGGGACGAGATCACCCAGCTGTTGGACCATCACATTGCGAATGCTGTTAGGCTAGCAAGAGGCGAGCACGTGGGAGTGGAGAGCGAGAGCGGCATTGAGGAAGGTGAGAGGAGCGTTGCGGGGAGGGGGGTGGAGAAGGGGAGGGTGATGGTGCGGCAGGAGGGGCTGCTGATGCCGTCTCTTCGCATGTCACAAGGCGTGGCAGCAGCAGCAGCGGTTTCCCACGGCTCTTCAAGGCCACGTTATGCTTGATGCGGCTGCTATATGGGCCCCTTACAAAGAGGGGGGGAGGAGGGTGGGCAGGGAGGGGGGAGCGAAGGGGAGGGTGATGGTGCGGCAGGAGGGGCTGCTGATGCTGTCTCTTCGCATGTCACAGGGCGTGGCAGCAGCAGCAGCCGTTTCTCACGGCTCGTCACGGCTTGACACCTTTTGAGACGACCAAGAGGGGGAGAGTGATGGATGGCACCTTGCTATGCTAGACTTGATTGACTCTACAGATACAGGAGAGGTGCTGAGTCTGCTTTCAGATGGTAGGTTCCTTAGGTGGTAGTGTCCAGCATGGTAGCGAGTGCACATGTACACCTTTCTGCTGCAGCCACTTACCGTATGGTGTGATTGGGATGAATAAGTAGCTATAGATGGCCAACATACAGTAAGTTGGCGAAGTTGGTGTTTATGATTCATTGTCAGGGTAGAGGGGGCATGGCTCTAGTATTTGTTGGATAGGTGGGGAAGAAACCTCTGCATAAAGAGCTTGTTTTGGTGTGTACACTATTTCCATTGCAACTAAGGATGCGGCACATCTTTTGATTTTGCCAGGATCGAGGGAGGATCGAAGTTTGTACACCGATTCTCCCACATCAATTGGCACACCGATGTGCACACACTGCAAATTTGCAGTGTGGTAGACACGTCGAGCCATGGGTGCCAGGGTTGAAATTGCAGGATCGGGCGGGTAGGACCTGTTGTGATAATGAAGGATCGTAGTGGATAGAATAAGTCTGCTAAGTCTAGGAGAAGACAATGAAGTCTTTGTAATGACCTTGTTAATAAAAGTTGAAAGAGAACAAGATGATTATGAGATAGAGATACAGGGGTATAAATAGCAAACTAGCTAGCCATGTACTATGAGGGGTACATTCCCTTATTAACTGTATTGCATAGCTACAGTAACTGTGACTATTGCCATTCTCGACAGTTACCATATTGCATCGCGTAATCTCTGATGCGGTTACCGGACGGTCAACAGTCGCGACCGTTTGACTGACAGTGACTGTTGGCCCTTGGGTGACTCTCAATCTTCCGCATGCTCTATATGAGCTATTGCGGTACTGCTACAGACGCGTTGTTTCGTTATGAAGTGACGCGTGAGTGGAGATCCTTCGGGAATGTTGCTTTGACCTTTCGGTTATTCCAACACTCCCCTTCATTCCTGAAGGTGAGCCACGTGGGATTTCTTCGAGATCCCGCTGAGGTTGGTGCAGTGTTGAAACTTCTGACGTGGCAGCTTCTTGGTCAAGAAATCTGCTGCCATGTCACCAGTTGGGCAATGTGTGAGTTTGACCTTGACTTTGTCGATCTCGTCGTTTTGCGGTTCACGAAGCCGAGGTTGTTCGCGATCTTGATCGCGCTCTGGTTGTCGCAGAGTAACGTGAAGTGCCCGTTCATCGTCACTTTCGCTTCCTGCAAGAGTTCCATTAGATACAGTCCTTCGCGAACAGCTGCGCTGGCGGCGATGAACCCAACTTCAGCTGACGAAAGTGCAACGAGCTCCTGCTTCTGGGAGTTCCAAGAGATGAGTCCGGCAGGTTGGAGTTGAAAAATGAATCCTGTGCGGGAGCGTCTGTTGTCAATATCTCTCGCGTGGTCTGCGTCAACGTAGCCATGAAGTTGTAGGGTAGAAGTGAGGTTAGCTTCGTAGGTGAGTCCGACGTCAGGAGTAGAAACGAAGTATTGAAGTGCTCGGCGTAGATCCAGTAGATTCTCCCCTTCAGGTCGCTTCAGGTACTGAGCGAGCTGGCTTGCGACGTAAGAGAGATCGGGCCGGCACGTGATGGCGACGAACAAGAGACACCCCAACTGCTGCTGATAGAGTCGATGGTCCTCGATAGAGAGCGATGTGGTGTCGGGTTCGTGGTTAGGAGGAGGAGTGCGGAAGGGGGTGGTGAGGTTGATCGGGGCGACGGCGAACTTCTTCGCTAGAGTTTCCGCGTATTTAGCAGCGGAGAGGTGGACGGAGGTGGCGGATTGGGTGATGTTGAGACCCAGAAATTGTGTGACGTTGTGGTTGATGGTCACTTCAAGCTTCTCCTTGATATCTGCCTCAAACCGATCCAGCAGCTCCGTGTCGTCGCCGGTGTTGAGTAGGTCATCGACGTAGGCGACAAGGAGAATAAACTTGCCTCGCGAATCCTTGCGGTACATTCCGAGATCATGTGGCAGCTGAGTGAATCCGAGCTCCATCACGACGGTGTGCAGGTACTGCTGCCATAGTCGAGGCGCCTGCCTGCTTGATTCCATAGAGGGATTTTTTAAGAAGGCAGACGGCCTCGTCGGCGTCCTCGAAGGCATGCGGCTGCTCGACGAAGATGATGGCGTCGACGGGAGCGTACAAGAATGCACTTCCGACGTCGATTTGACGGAGCGGGCGCTGTTTGACGGCTGCGATGCAGATAAGGATGCACACCGAGGTGTGCCTTCCGACGGGCACGTAGGTGAGGTCGAAATCCACCATGTGGGTTTGCTCGAAGCCGCGTACCACCTATCTCGCTTTGTACTTGTCGATGGAGCCCTTGCAAGTTTTTTTATTCGAAATACCCATTTGCCGCTGAGGATTTTTCTCCCCTTCGCTGAGGATCGTGGAACCAGCTTCCACGTTCCGTGGCTCTTCAGTGCCGCGACTTCCGCTGCCATGGCTGCCTTCCATTTTTCACTGTCGGGACTGGACAAGGCTTGGCGAACAGTGGTAGGTTCCTTGGGGGAGGCGTGGTGAACAGGGACGGCGAGTCCGAGGATGCGGAGACCGGTTTTGTTGGTCTTTTCGAAGCGGAGGCGATCGTAGTCGTGGGAGCTGGTTACTTCGACGACGTCGTCGTCACTGTCGTTGCCGAGGCAGAGGGTGTCTTGCGAGGTGTTTGGTGGTAACTCGACATCCGGTGATCGGCGCGCTGCACTGTTGTAGTTGTGGGCTTCACGAGTTGTATCGTCAGGATTGAATTGGTGTACAGGTATGAATGTCGGAGTCAGAAATGGGCTTGTAAGGGGAATGTTGGGTGCACTGTCAAATTGGGTGACATCTGCTGCATCAGCGTTTTCTACCAGGTTAGCTTCATCGTGTGGAGTTGCCAAGCTGCGGTGTCCCTTAAAAATCCTTTCTGGTGCCCTGTCGGCTTCGCGGTGCTCCTTGAACAGTGGCAGTGTCAGCTTCTCGTAGAAGATGCAGTCACGTGATTTTGTGACTTCGTGTGTCGTGTAGTCCAGCACGATCCACGCCTTGTAATCTTTTTCGATTTCGAGGTGGATGCCCCAGCGTGCCCGGTCAGCAAATTTTCCGGTCCTTGCTATGTGTGGCATGTACTGTACCATGCAGCCGAACACTCAAAGAAGACGTGTGTCTGCTTTTCTGCATGTCCAAGCCCTGTAGGGAGAGTTGTTGTTCTCGAGGCTTCGGGAGGACAGTAGGTTGTGTAGCCGGACTGCGTGGTTCATTGCAAACAGCCAGTATTTTGTTGGCGCGGCTGATTGTTTCATCAGGGCCCTCATCGTTGTGGCGAGGCTCCTGTTTGTCGGTTCTGCTACACCTTGTTGCTCGTGAGCGTAGGGCAGGGACACCAGGTTCTCAATCCCTTTCTGCTTGAAGAGTTCCTTGAACTCAGTTGAGACGTGGATGGTAGGTTTTCAGCTTCAATCCAGACTGGCGTTCAGCCCGCTTCATCCATGCTACGAAGCACTCAAAGGCGAGAGAGCGGCAGTCGGTGTTGACGGCCCAGACGTAGCGTGTGCATGCATCGATGAAGGTAAGCGTGTAGAATTTGCCGTTGAGCCCAGTTTGGCTGAGAACCATGAAGTCGCTGTAGACTTTGTCGAGCGCCTTGTAGCGTTCGTAGCCAGGGGGTAAATAGGGAAAGGGTTTGTGGGCGAGTGGCGCAGTCGGGCACACGGTGCATGGCGGGTTGGCTGATTCCGCTGTGAGGGAGCCTCCATGAGGGAGGAGCAGCGCGTCGACGTCAAAGGCACCAGCCTTGAGAGAGTTCTTGAGTGTGGCGTGTGAGGGATGCCCGAGTCGCTGACGCCATGTTTCCGGTTCCGCATGGTACCCGACTGTCTTCTGATAATACTTATGCCTTGCTGCTTTGTCGTTCTGTTGCTTTTCAGGTCCCATGTCGGTTACAGCGTCGGCGTCAGCTGCAAAGGCTCGAACGGAGTTTCGTTCCAGGAGCGTGCGGGGAATTTTGATGATGTCGTTGGTATCGCCAACGTGAACTTGTTTGTCGGTGACGAGCAGGGACGAAGATGGTGGCGCTTTGGGCCAATCGGAGACAGGAAGTCCTGTCATGGGAATGCGAAAGTAGTTGTATTCGTCGCCAATGATTTCAATTTGCCGAGGCCCTTGTTCTGGTGACGGCGGCTCCTTGGTGGGTTCCGGTAGTTCCGCTGCTTCCCCGAAGAACTCATAAGTTACTTCTTCTTCCGACTCTTCTTGAACTGGTTCTGGTGTGTCAGGGGCGTACTGGTTCGGAAGAGGAGGGCCGCCCCAGCTAGTACCACGAGTTGCCCAGTACGGATCGACTGCCGCAACTTCCGCAGGGGGAAGTCCCGGAGCTTCGGGATAGGCGGGAGCTGATTGTCCCCATCTTTCTTCGGTTGAGGTTCCCCAGCCTCCTCCAGCGGCAACGTCTGCTTCCTCTGGCGTTAGAACTTCTCCCCATGGGCCAACTGCAGGGCCGGGACTCCCCCAGCCAGTTGCTGGAGCTGTTATGTTTTCTCCGGTGTCCGGATCTGCAGTTGCTGACTTCCCACTGTCCTCCTCTTCTTCCATTGTAGCAGGTCCAGTACCCCCTGGGTTGGAGGTCGAGGCAGTTGGGACGGTGTGCAGTCGTAGAAGACCATCGGAGGCGGGCCGTTCAAGATCCATCTCTTCTGGGTGTGACCAAGCCATCGGCTCCGTGGGAGTTGTTTTCAGCAGGAGCGTTCGTTCAGAATCGCCACTGGTGCCTTGAGCCGAGATTTTCAAAACGAATACCTCGTCATCATCGTCAGCCTTTCCGATGTAACTATTTTTATAATAAAGTTCGAAGGTTTTGTCCTTGCAGTTGCTGCGAATGTCAACTCCACACCGCATGAGCTGGGCTGAAGAGAGCAGGTTGTATTGAAGATCAGGAGCAACTAGCACGTCGCCAATGTGAATAGTGAAGTGAGTGTCGTCGGCCTCAA